GGATATGGAGCGGGGCAGCTTTTAAGTGATCTCTACCTCCTAGTATTCATGTCCTTATGTAATTCCCTCACACTGAGTATGGGCTGGACATAGTATTCTGTTCCAAGGAACAGAAAATGTCAGAAGTGATGGGAAATCATTTTTGAGATCAGGTTACAAAAGACTGGCTTCTGTTTTAAGCACCCTTTCTTGCTTGCTTGCTCTGAAGGAAGCCAGCTGCCATGGTGTGAGCTGCCCTATGGAGAGGCCCATGTGGCAAGAGACTGACGTCTCCAGTGAGAAGCCAGCAAGGACCTGCAGTTGCCAACAGCTACATGAATGTACTTGTAAGGAATCCTCTTACAGGTGAGTCTTCAGATGAGACCATAGCCCCAGTTGATGGCTTGACTGTAAGCTCATGAGAGACCCTGAGTCAGAAGTACTCAGCTGAGCTCACAAAGACTTATGACCCATAGAAAGATAACAAATATTGGTTGTTTTAAGCCATTAGGTTTTGGGATAATTTGTTATGCAGCAAGAGATATCTAATACAGAGAGCTGGAGTGTGTGTGTGTGTGTGTGCATGTGCAAGCACACATATCCATGGAGGAAAAGTATACAAGAAGGCCTGAAAGGATGCACAGCAAACTGTTAGTAGCAGTTAAGTCTGGAGACAGAAGTAGAAAGAGAAAATAAAGAAGGACTCTAATATTTAATACATATATATGTATATGCACACACACACACTCTTAAGCCTTGATGAAATGTTTCACAGTGAGAATTATTTACATATCACTTACAATCTTTTTTTTCTAAAAATATAAATGAAACTTGAAGTTATAACAAAGAGACTAGTTGTTATGAAAATAGTAAAGGACTGACATTTTCAGAAATGATGAGAAAAATACCCTTTTTTATGTATTTAGTGCTTTCTAAATACCCTAAACCCTTTTAAAGAGGGAAGGAAGGAAAGAAGGTGGAAAGCAAAGGAGCAGGGAGGGAGACCTTCCCTTCTCTCAATCTTTATGGCTCCCCACTCCATGAGGAATGCTGCTAAGATCACTGTGCTCATTATTTTCATCACATTTCTCAGAGGGCAGGAGGGCATTTGGAATTAAATGGAAGCCCAGGATCACCAAGCCAGGCGACCTCCCTATAATTGCCCAGCCAGGCAGTAATGGAACCAAGACCAGAACAGCAACCCAAACTCCTAACCTGTGTTCTCCACAGGCCACAACATCCTAAAGGGTTTGTCTTCAAACAAAATGACCATTCTTCATTACTTCCTTAAGAGTTCAGTGACATTCTGGCCCTTAGTCCCTGAAAGCAAAGATGGGATCTCAGAGAGAGGCGGGGAGGCAGAAAGGGCACTCTTAGGAACCTGCAGGCCAGACCCTTCCCAGTGTACCCTCGCCCCCACCTGGGCCTAGAGCTGCAATCAGAGCAGACCAGCAGGTGCAGGGGGCCACCCCACATGGGGATGAGAAAAAAACCCAGGGCTTCTGCAGGTCTCTGCAGGGCAGGCTGGGAGCCGTGTAAAGAGATCTGGCTTTCTGTTAAATTGCCCCTTGGTACCTGATGACTTGAGGGCAGCTGTGCTGGAGATGTGTGGGACCAAGGGCAGGAGAGAAATGAGGGATGGGCCAAAAAGCAGGTGAAATCCCCTGATCTTTTTTAGAAAAGGAAAATAAATAAAAAGCTACACTGTCTTTCTCTCAGGCAGGGGTAGCCTGGGGAGGCACTGACTCCACGGGTCAATGGAAAAATGAAACACAGGTGTAAAAGGGTCTTAGAGAGGTTACACTATGCAGGTGAAGGTCAGGTGAGGGAAGCAGCACAGTGAAAGTGAAGAGCAAAAAGGATTCAAATGCCTCAGAGACTTAGTGATGCTGATATTTGGACAATTGAAGCTACTTTCTGGACCTCTAGCTGTGTATGAAGTGCTCAGACAGACACACACCTGAGTCTGGAGAGAGAGACTTTATGGTACTTAAATTATAAGACAAAAGACAGGAATGAAATATTGTGCCTACCCACTTAGTGCTGGTGTTTTTCTGCCCTTGACTAAGGAACTCAGTCACCCAGCACCTGTCCATGAGCATTCCCCTCCTGTCTGGAGCCTCAGGGCTGTGGGCAGTGGGACGGCAGCCCAGAGGACATCGATGGGCCGCTCCAGCTCCCGGGAGCACTGTGGGAGTTGTCCATCTCCAGCTCTCTGTTCCCCACTAGCACAATGTGGTTAATTGTGTTCCCTCTGCCTGGCGAACAGAGCAACAAGCCCTGGAAGAGTACATACCTAATACTTGAACCTATGTGACTGGGACAATTTGAAAGGTAGAGTGACAAAGACAGTTTTCTGCATCCTTCCCTATAGACCCAAGCTCTCAAATAAACCTGTTTTGCTAAAAATATCTGACCCTATTCCCAGGAGTGAGAAGGGCAACAAAGCAGATGCTACAGCGCAGCAGGCCAAATGGCTGGGTTCCTCCATGGCCAGGGGGGCAGGGCTCCAGCCCAGGAGGCTATGTCAGCACCGTCCAGCCAAGGGATAAACCTCACAGAGGCACCAGCAGAGCATGTGGAGCACAGACCAGAGTCGGGTGCCGGAGCCAGGCCACCTGGGTTTAATGCCACCTCCAGGGGAACATGCTCTGGGACCCTAGCAGGTCACTAAGTCTCGATTCCTTTTCCTTGGTAATCACAGCAGCAGAACCAGGCACAGACCCAGGCCCCTTCCCTGACCCATGCTGGCCTTTTCGGGCCATCACCCTCTCCACAGATTAAGTGGTCTGCAGGGACAAAAAGACTTGAGGTTGAGGAAGGATCAAAAGTAAACAGAGGGGATTTGGGAGCAGTAAAACCATTCTGTACGACACTGTAAGGGTGGACTTATGTCACACATTTGTCAGAATGTCCAACACCAGGAGTGGTCCTCATGTAGATTACAGACCTTAGGTGGTAAGGAAGTGTTACTGTAGGTCCAGTGATTGTAACAAATGTACTGCTCCAGTAAAATATCAGTATTTATGAGATGGAAGTAATCATTTAAATTCCTTAGGTAGACCAATAATTAGTATATTCACTAAAAACCAGATATGGCCTCATTACAGTCCCACCCAAAGCAGGCTCTATGCTTCCCGGCAACCCTAGTCAACTTTCCCAAAGTGCATCACTCCTCTGCTAAAAACATCCGAGATTCTGGCTCCATTTCCTTCTTCCTTTTCCATTGTTGTAATGTCACTAATGGTCAAAAAGGGTTTCAGGCAGGCCCTTTCCTTTCATAGTTGTGCGCTAGACTACTACTGAAAAGGGTGACTGAACGCCTGAGCAGCTCATGCAGGATGCAGGCATGCCAACAGGCAGCGCTGCGCCTCCTCCTGCCCCAGGTCAGGGCGTCCTCAGTCCCCCGATGGCTACACCAAGCTTCACCACCGTCCTCAGGCTTCCCACAGCCCTGCTGCTCACCTCGACTTTATAGAAGATCTCCTATTTAGGACAACGTGGGGATTCTCACTGCCGTGCTTCAAGGCTTCAGAACGTGAATGATCATTTTGTCCCCTCACCTCCTCCTGGATTCCATGTCCCTGACACAGAAGACTGCATCCAGGCCTGGTCTTGAGGCCTTCCCTCCATCTGGGAGGAGGGATATTCATCTTTCCCCACAAGCCCCCCTCCTCCGCCCCTGTTGCATCAATGGCTCTCCTCTCTTCTAGCTCATTAATCTCTTCTTTTCCACT